GGTTTCTGTCTTCCCCCCACTTCCAATATTTTCCCATATTTTCTTGGGAATCGAGGATTAATTGTGTCTGTGTGCTTCTTCTCCTCCTGAAATCTGGAGTCCACGACAGCTGACGCTTTTTCGTCTTGAGGTGCCTGGTGGGCGAACTGCAGCGGCCGAACCTCCGTCGGAGCTCCGCAGGCCTATACGCCGGTGCCGTTCCCTTCTTCTCCGCGGCAGGGCCCGGGGCTCCGGGGACCCCCCCCGGCGACGTGCAGCGAGCTGACGTCCCTGCGGTCTCGGTGACTCGGCCTCGGGGGCCCGGGCTGGGCCTCGAGGCCCTGAGCAAAAGCCGCCCTGAACTAAGCCTCACCTGGGCGCCGCGGGAACTGGCAGCGCTGCTGGGCAAAAACTGGCCCGGGGGCCGAGTGACCGCCCGAGTCCTCGAGAAAGGTCTCCGCCTCGAGCTTACGGGCAGGTTCCCAGGGAACGGGCGGGGGCAGCAGCGGGACCGAGCTGTCGCCGGGGATCTGGTCTGCGCACAGGCAGCCCCCTGGAGACCTCCCCTCGCCCTCGCTCGGACGTCCATGCCTCGTGCACGTGTCGGTTCCGCGCGTGTCTCTTCTTGAGGTGAAGGGCCTGTCTTTGGCTGGCGAGGCGGCAGGCCCTCCATGCCGCCTCGTACGTTACGTTTTGAGGTGAAGGGCCTCGCGGAGGAAAACAAGATCCTCCTCCTCCTCCTCCTCCTCCTCCTCCTCCTCCTCCTCCTCCTCGATGGTTCGTGCCGAGAAAAACTACCCACGTGGCGATGCCAAGCTCCTGGCTGGCCTCAGCAGGTCCCCAGGGCAGCCCCCGGGGGCCTGCTGCGGCCAGCCGCGACGGGCTCCGGGTGCTGCCCGTGCACAGCGCCCGACGCCTTGCCGGGCCCGGCACACCTCGTCTCGCCCAAGGTAGTTGGCGACGTAGACGCGGTGGGGGACCTGGGTGCCCAAGACGGAGGACTCCCCGCGGAAGTGCTGGTCGAGGATCGCCATCTCGGGTCCGGGGGAGGGGTGCGGGAGGGGCGGGCGGCGGCAGAGGTGGGGGGAGGGGCGTGCCCGTGAATCGGAAGAGGTGGGTAGGAGCACGAAGTAGGAAGGCGTTGGAAGTAGAGCGGGCTTCCGCCCGCCCCTCGAAGACGAGGGACGAGGGAAGACCACTCCAGTCTCAAAGGAGGGCGCCCGAAGCAGATTGGGACATGGGCATCATCCCCCAAATCCCTGCTTCCATAGACCGAAGGGTGACATCCCTCGTGACCTCGGCCGTCGCCCTCGCGGGCTGCCGGGTGCAGGGAAGGCTGCAGCGAGGGGTGCAGGAAGGCCCGGGCCTCCCGCGTGCAATCCGGGGCGGACCTTGCCCCTCGCGGTTCTCTCGGGGAGCCGCCGTCGAGCCCCGAGCCCAGCCGTCCGCCCAGAGCGTGGGGGCTGGCGCGTCGGGAGGAGGAGGCGGAGGAGGAGGAGGAGGAGGAGGAGGAGGAGGAGGAGGAGGAGGCCTCCTCCACCCGCACATCCGGCGACGACATCGGAGGGAGCTCAGACATCCGCCGATGGGATGTTTTCAGCCCGCGGCCCCGGAAGTCACGACCCCTTCCCCAGGGGTGGTCCTTCGTCCCGGGTCCATTTTTGAGGGACCCCGGGCCCGACAACGGACCCACGAGGCCGAGCTCCAAGACAAAACGCTGGATGGCAACGGCGACGATGACGACAACGACGGCAGCCATCTCGCGAGCATGCGATTCAACCAACTGGATTCACCTTCATCTGGCGGATTCTGGCAACCCCAAAGACGTTTTCATCTCTTGGGGGTGCATCGTTTTCTTCCGCCGCCTTCCGCCAGCCTTCCGCCGACTCCTGGCGACGGAGGCGGCCTGGTTTTGCTTCCGCCGCAGTCCGCCGAGGAAGAGATGACAACTCCTCCGATCTCCGAAGGCAAGGCCATCTGTGGAACGCCTCGTCTGTTTCTCTCCCTCCTGATACCCACCCTTCAATTAGCGGCGCGCGCCAGGGGGTAGGGGGAGGGGGGAGGGATTCTTAGACGGAGGCTGCTTCTTGGAAGGCGCCGGCCTTACATCTGTAGAGAAGGCCCGCGCCTTCTGAGAAGCAGGGGTGCTTCAGAGAAGCCCTCCCCCCTCCCCCCGCCCCCCTTGCGCGCGTGGCCGGTTCAAGCCGACAGCGAAGACAGCTCCCGCGACGGACGCAAGCCTTGGAGGTCGGGTGAGGAGGGAGGGGAGGCCCACCTGGTCGGCCGGCCTTGGTGTCTGGACTCCTCTCGGCTGCGGCCCTGCGGATCCAGGGCGGCGCTCTCCGCGGAGGCCCCCCGCGCGGAACGCACCCGCTGGACCGCGGAATTGCGAAAGGGGGTCTCGAATCGACGCCCAGACCGCAGGGGCATGACTATGCTGGGAGGCAACCGCTAGGTCTTCGTCGAAGAGACTAAGGAGGGTTCATCCGCATTGGGGGGCTGTTACGCTGGATTCGGTCGCGGATCAAGCTGGATTAAGCCGGACTGGGCGTGAGTAAGCCGGATCGGGCGGGATCAAGCCGGATTTCGGACCAGGGCAAAGTCAGAATTTGACCTCCCAGGAGTTGCATCCGAAGATCTGCATGTCTTCATCGCTCGTCGTGGGTCGGCAGCGCCGTCCACGGCAACAGCACTACCGAGAACCGACCGAACCGACGGCAAACCAGAGACCGACCGAAACCGACAGGCCGCATGCAGCCTCGCAAGGGCGCAGCGACGCAGCAACGACGCAACAACCGACGAACAGCGATCGAAAACAACCGACTGCCGCGCAGCCGAACCGCACAAACCGCGGACACGCACGGGCCCATGGTAATCCTCGTCGTGCGTCTGGCTTTCGGGTCGCAACTCGGATCTCCAACGGCCGCTCAGGGAGATTGGGGCATCCCGGGAAAGCTCTTGGCGGGGAGCGGCTGCCTGAAGGCACCCCGAGGCTGGAAGACCGCCGAGAACCGACGAAACCGCTCAAAAACCTTGAAACTCGTGTCGGGGCTCCGGCGCGCCCGAAATGGTACAGAACATTGGTGCGATGCCCAACTGCAAATGCTATCCAAATCCGACGGCGGCCGCGCTAGGTAGGCAACTTTGTGTCACATGGACGACGTCCACGGCGACGCCGAGAGAGAGCCCTGTGCAAAATGAGCAGTGAGCAGAAGCTGCTATCGATCTTCGTCCCCGTTCTGTCCCTACCATTGTCCATCGCACCGTCTGCTGGATCAGACGAAGCCAGGACGGGGATAAAACCGGGTGAGGATGAATCGAGAATCTCTGAGATCCGGCGGCTCTGGAGGATGTCTTGGGCGCCGCGGCCTTCTCAAAACGTTCCGGAACGCTCTGCGAGCGTTCCGGAACGCTCTGGGACGGATTTATCCTCGTCCTAGCCCCGCCCGTCCAGTGTCCATCGACCGACGGAGGGAGGTCGGGGAGAGGGGGAGGTTGGCCACCTGCCCGGCCCATGCGGAGGACTCCTCCGCGCCCGCATCGGGGCCGACCTCCGCGACGGGACCGAGGCGAACGAACGAGGCGTACTTCAGGTAGTGCTCGGGGTGCTTGCTGCGCCACACCTGTTGGGAGGACGAAGCGGCAGGACAGCAAAGGGTAAGGCAGAGAATCAGCTCACGTAGGCTGGCTCTCCTGGCGCCTCCTGGCGCCAGGAGGCGCTCATGAATCAAGGCATTGGCCTGGCGGAGGGGCCGAAACCAGCTGCATGCAGCAGGTATCGTCCCCCCCCTTTCCTTATCCTACCCGTTCGTCTGGCCCGAACCTCGGGGGAGGGGAGGGGCCAGGCGTGAGCAACCACATGTGAGCTCCAACCCTGCAGGTCAGATTTCTGAAACGCTGGCTGGGGTTCAGACTTCGGAGGTATTTGTGTTGTTTCTCGTCTTCTTTGTTTGTGACGCATCGAAGCCCCAATGGCCCGATACCAACGTTCGAGATGCGACGGGGGAGCCGGCAGGCGCTCTTGCTGCGGACGGGACCGTCATCGCCCCTTACTCCTGGGTGAAACGAAGACGCTGGCGCGGACGAGGGGGAGCGTAGGATGGAGGAAGAGACCACACAGAAGTCGGAGGAGGTATGCAGCCAAGTGAAACCCAGCGGGCGTCGATTAGACCCGCAGAGGAAAGCTTCGTGCGAGCGGATAGCATCTCGCTCAGCTCCGCGTGGCGGGAGGCTCGGAATGGCTCTGGACGCTGAGGCCTGGGGACTGGGAAATGCACAGCGGGTAGCGCTTGAGCGTGATGGGCCAGACCCGGCGGAGCAACACTTGCGATGGGCCAGAACCGGCGGAGCAACACGCTATCCGAAATTACTCGACGTGTGGATCTCTTGGATCGTCGCCGACCCCCTGGCGGCGCATCCAACGCCGCCCCTGGCTCGCTTCGCGCGCCAGGAAGGGGAGTCCAACGCCGATCCAAGAAATCCTCGCACCTCAGAGACGGCATGCTCATGCGATCCTTTCTTCTTCGACCCCGGGAAGCGGGAGAACGAGGAAGAGAACCCCCTGCCCTCCTCACCACCATCCTCCTCCTCCTCCTCCTCCTCCTCCTCCTCCTCCTCCTCGTCTGGGTTTATGGGCGCCCCCCTGGTCACTGCAGGTGACAACGGCCCGGCAGGGACTTTCTGCAGGCAGCTGGATGGCAGACAGGCAGACATCGGTAGCACGATCGCGGCCTGTGGCTGCACGGCTGCAGCCGACCAATGGGGGCGGTATCAGACCGAGGCTGCGCTTACAGTGGCTGCTGCCCCCCCTGGCACGCAGGTCGGCTCGGGCGCCCCCGCCATCCCATCCGAGGGCGCAAGAACAGTGCCAATGACGCGCCGTCGTTGGGGATCCCTCGGCGTGCTGCTGTCCAGGATCGGAGCAGGGCGAGTGGAGACCACGGCAGCTCAAGATCAGTCCCTGACCCTTCCCAGGGCCAGGACGCGCCACTCGTGTGATTCCCTGAGACCAGGCTCTTATCCTGCGTCGTTTTCTGACGGCCCCGAGGCCTGGCCAGGGCCCCCCCCCCCGAGGCCGAGAGTAGCGAGAAACGTCCCGTCGCGATCTCTTTCACGACCCGGGAGGGTCTGGCAGAGGCCAGCAGCCGTCGTCTCCACCCGCCCTCCTCCGACAGGAGCCACCACCGTGCCTTCGGACCACTATCGGGGCAGCAACCCCGCCGATGGGCCCCCCACGTCGGATCCGCCTCCGACGCCCCCCGCTCGTGGGGACGCGAAGGTGGGGCAGGGAGGCAGAGGTGGCAGCGGGGAGGAAGATTGGCTCTCGATGGCCCGTGGGCGGAAGCGACGTGCGAGCACCACTCGGCGGCGAGCGCGCGGGGGGGAGAGTGAGAAAGAGAGGGCCTCGTCAGAAGGCAGCTGGGCTTCTCAGAGGGCCTCTCGGGCCTTCTGAGGGGTTCTTTGCGTCTTCGAAGAAGGCTTCGATGAAGGTGGGGTGCGGACGTAGGCTCGGGCAGCTATCTTCGCGCTTCGCGCTCCGCGAGGCGCGGTGATCTTCGCGCTCTCGCGCCGCCCCCCTCGACCCCGGAACAGGATGAGGGACTCGCGCCTCGTTTTGAAATCGACCAGACCGCGAAGCGTGAAGCGCGACAAATTTAGCACCCTCGTTGTGGCCCTAGGTAAAATGAAGGTGGGGCTGGCAGGACGATGGCCCTCGACGGCCCGTAGAAGGAAGAAGACTGTGAGCACCCAGGCGGGTTCGCTTCTATATTGGCGGCGGGCACAAGGAGGTAGGGGATTGGGGACCAGGGGCTTAAAGACGCAGCCTCCTTCTGAGCTACCCTCCCCGCGCATAGCGGAGAGAAGGGGGGCATAAGCAGAAGGGAGTTCTTTGGGGAAAATCCTGGAGGCCTCCCGCGGCAGCTCGAGGCCCAGGAGTTACGTCGGATCCACGTCGGAGGTACGCCAGGCTCACGTCGGATTACGTTAGAGTTGCGTCGGATTCCGCCCACTGGGCGGGGTCATCTGCCACGTGGGGGACTTCTCGGCCACTTCTGCAGCTAGGTCAGGACAGGTCTATTCAACAATCCTCCCTATACCCTCCTCCTCTCCTCCTCCTCCTCCTCCTCCACCTTCTCCTCCTCCTCATCCTCATCCTCTGAATGGTTCAGACAAGACAATTTCTGATCCGTCTTCGTTTGGTCTGTTCCACGGCGCTGGGACCGATTCGAGAGCTTCTCACCCCGAGCGGAGGTGATGGGCCACAGTGCCATCCGCCCTCACCGTTCCATGACAATTCTGCTTGACAAAAATGGCTCGGCACCGAGCTGCCACCCCAGACCCCCGACGTCATGAATTTTTCATGACGTCGACCCCAAGCGGTCTGGACCCTTTCCCGGGACCGGTTCTTCGTCCTGAGTCGTTTTTTGACGGTCCCGAGGGCCGGTAAGGGCCCCCAAAGGCCAAAAATAACGAAAAACCTCCCGTCGTGATTTTTCATAACTCGAGGGGGTCTGCCACGAGCCCATAAGGCTTAACCAAGCCAGGGGACAAGTAGGCTGGCCCCCGCCATGCCGACAATGCCGCCAGCAGCTGCCGAGCTCGCAAGACGTGCGAGACGAGCCCCCGCGCTCTCAGGCAAGGGACTCACCAGTTGCCCTGCCTCCTCCTCCTCCTCCTCCTCCTCCTCCTCCTCCTCCTCTTCCTCCTCTTCATCTGCCCCCCTCAGAAAATATCCCCAAAAAACCCTCACACATGCTAACAAATCGTCCCCAGACTATGTTTTGACTATTTTTGCATCCCCCCTGTAGAGGGACAGGCCCGGCTTAAGCCTTGCCCCCCGGGGGGGGCCGTCACGAGAAGCAGCGCGGGAGGGAGCAGCGTTTTTGTTTGTTCGTTTGGGTTTGGGCTGTGTCATGCTTCTTCATGTTTGTTTTCCCGGTTGTGTAAGTGTCTTATTTGCTTATAGGGTGTTTCTCGCATCTGTTCAAGATTTGTTCAGGGTGCTTTGTATTGTCTTTAGCAAGATGTTTTCAGCCCTCCCTTGCCAGAGGGGGGCTGGGGCCACCAGCTTGCTCCCCAGTGTTCGTTACGGTGAGGCTTGGTCACGGGTGTCACCGCGGCCGTCATCAGATCAGGAATCCCTTGGCTAAGCCAAAGCGCCTAACTCTAACTTCGCGCTTCGCGATGCGCGCAGCGCGGACAACTTCGCGCCACGTTTCCTCCGAAGGGGAGGAGAAGAGGAAAAGGAGGAGTCGGAGCAAAACCGCGAAGCGCGAACAACTTGGTGCCCTCGAGGGTGCGCTGGGATAAAGAGTCCAGGGTCTGAGAGCCGGGTGAACACCAATTGAGGCTAGGCAAGGACACCGCGCTTCGCGCTGCGCGAATCGACAATAACTTCGCGCTCTCGCGCCACCCCCCAATGGAGAAGAGAAGGATGGGGAGGAACTGGAGCCGAACCGCGAGGCGCGGAGAGCGAACGCGCCCTCGAGGGCGCCCTTGCATCATGAGTCCAGGGCCCACGGTCACCGCCACCGTCATCAGACGCGGAATCCCCCATGGCCTGAGGCCTCCTGGGCGCATTCCCTAACGATCGCCATCACCGTACCTTGGATGTGCGAATCCTCCTCCTCCTCCTTGGATGTACCCTTGGAGGGGCAGGGGGAGGAGCAGGGGGAGGGGGAGGGGAGGGGAGGGGAGGGGAGGGAGGGGGAGGAGGGGGAGGAGGAGGAGGAGGAGGAGGAGGAGGAGGAGAGGAGGAGGAGGAGGAGGAGGAGGAGGAGGAGGAGGAGGAGGAGGAGGAGGAGGAGGAGGAGACGTGAGGATGAGGAGGAGGACGACGAGGAGGAGGGAGGAGGAGGAGGAGGAGGAGGAGGAGGAGGAGGAGGAGGAGGAGGAGGAAGGAGGAGGGAGGAGGGAGGATGAGGATGTGCGAATCTTGGGACGCTGGGGGCCGAGGGGGCCCTGGCCCGCACGGTGCGCGGACGCGCTCTCCCTCCCGTGGCAGCTCGTGGGAGAGCCCCACGCTCACCCCTGCGGGCTTTCCTGCAAAGTCGGCGCGGGCCGACGCGGATATCGGCGCCAACCGGCGCTGCGCACCGACGCCGAGCCGACGCGAGGTCGGCGCTCTCTCATCGGTTACCGTCGGGGCCTTGACCTGAGGCACCCTAAATAAGGAACGAGGCCCCTTTTTCCCATGAGTTAGCCTTCGATTTCCTGTCGAGGGCCTAAGGAACACCCGAGACAAGCTGTGAAACACTTAAGGAACGCGGAGCCCCTCCCCAACGAAAAGGGTTCCTTCTTCAGGGCCCCGACTGTACAGCCGAGAGCGGGATCGAGGCGCATGCTGCCGAGATGCCCTCCCCAACGCCCGTGGGCCAGGCACGGCCAGGCGCGGCGACACCGTGCCCCCCAGGGCCGCTCTCCTCCCCTCGCCCGCGCGTCCCCGAGGCTCCCGCGGGCCACGCAGAGAGCAGGCCACCCCGAGCGGGGGGCGGGGGTCAGAGCTCCAAGTAGGCCGCAAGGCCTTCCCGATATCACCCAACCCAAGACGTCTGGGCCAGCTTCCCGGAAGCGTCCCAAAACAGGCCTGGGGGCCAACTGCTGCCTCGCACGCAGGCGGGACGGACGTGCTCCAGACGAGCACGGGCCAGCTCTGCGGCAGGTTGGCGAAGAAGCGCTGGTCCAGGATTCCGGGAGGAGGCGTCTTAATCAAGTGCACCATGGAGACGGGATTTCGAAGACAGACAAGTTGGCGGCGCGCCCGGGGGAGAAGTGAGAGGGGGCGGGCCTTCTCAGAAGGCTCGGACGCCTTCCAGCCTTCTGAACAGTTTTCTGAGCCTCCCCTGGAGACGCATAAAGCCTCTCAGAGGCGCGAGGGCTTCCGAGAAGCCCCGCCGCTCTTTGAGACGGCCGTCTCCTTCTCTCTCTCCCCCCCTCGCTCGCCGCCGATGCGAAGGTGGGCTCTATAGGGACGATGCTCCGAGGACGCACGAGGCCTCCCGTGGGCTGCTGCCGCACGCTCTTCCCAGCGCCCGTGGGCCCGGCGCGGGCGGCACTGTGCCCCCCCCCGCAGCCACTCTCCTCCCCTCGCCGGGCCACAGTTGGCGGCGCGCACGGGGGGGTACAATTGGCGCGTTGACCCAAGGAACCACAGATGAGGAACGAGGCCCCTGCTTCCCATAGATTAAGATTCGATTTCCCGCGGGAAACCAAAGGAAAACCAGCCGACGTCTTCAACCAAAGATATGCCCCAGCCAAAAAATGCTCCAAGAGCAGGGCGGGCAAACCACCGACGACTCTCCGAGCATTACTTGGCGGGCCTACCGTGGAGATCCGGCGCCCCGAAAGACTGGCTTTCGCTCGGACGTCCATTCCCTGTGCATGTTGACGGTTTCGTGCGTACTTCTTTGCTAGATGATCCACGCCGAGTTCCTTTTTTTGCTACATAATACGGAATGCTCATCGATGGTCCTCGCTGAACAAAGCACAAGTCCTAGCGATGCCAAGAAGACATGTGAGAGCCGAGCCGCCGAGTCTCGCCAAGCTCGAAGGCGCCGTCGTCGACGGGGTAGCGCCCGCGGAAGCCGGCCAGCCGCTACCCCTTTTCCTCGGCAAGCGCGGCGGGCGCCGTCCCGCGGCCGCGGCCGGCGCGGGGCGCCCCCGAGCTGCTCGGCCCGAGCGCGCCGTCCTCCTCCTCGAGCCGCCGCAATGCCTCGACGGCGGCGAGCCGCGCCCGCTCCACCTCCTCCGGCGACCCGTCCTTCGGGCGGAAAACGGGCCCCTTCCTGCGACCTTCGTCGGGGCCGTTCCTTATCCTGTAATCCACGCGCCACGCCTTCCTGCTTGTGTGCCAGAAGATGTACTTGACGCCGCTCTGCCGCTCCGGACGGTGGCGGTCGACAGCGCGGACCCGCCCGAGCTGGTCCTCCTCCTCCAGCCGCCGCAGCGCCTCGATGGCGGCGCGCCGCGCCCGCTCCACCTCCTCCGGCGACTCGTCCTTCGGGCGGAAAACGGGCCCCTTCCTGCGACCTTTGTCTGGGCCGTTCTTGATCCTGTAATCCACGCGCCACGTCTTCCTGCTTGTGTGCCAACCGACGTACTTGACGCCGCTCTGGCGCTCCGCACGGGGGCGGTCGACAGCGCGGACCCGCCCGAGCTGGTCCTCCTCCTCCAGCCGCCGCAGCGCCTCGATGGCGGCGCGCCGCGCCCGCTCCACCTCCTCCGGCGACTCGTCCTTCGGGCGGAAAACAGGCCCCTTCCTGCGACCTTTGTCTGGGCCGTTCTTGATCCTGTAATCCACGCGCCACGTCTTCCTGCTTGTGTGCCAACCGACGTACTTGACGCCGCTCTGGCGCTCCGCACGGGGGCGGTCGCCTGCGCGGGCCCGCCCGAGCTGGTCCTCCCCATCGAGCCGCCGCAGCGCTTCGACGGCGGCAAGACTGGCCGCGGCCGGAGGACGCGCCCCGCGGCCGGGGCTGGCGGCCGCAGCGCGCAGGCGCGCCCCGCGCACCGGGGCGGGCCCCGCGGCCGGCCCGGCGAAGGCCTCCAGCAGGGCCGCGTGCCCGCGCACCGCGGCCGCCGCCAAGGCTGCGCCGACTACTGCCGCGGCCGCGCCGCAGCGGCCGCTCTGGCGGCAGGGCGTAGCGCGCCTCTCGGAGCGCAGCGGCGGGCCCTGCGGGCGAGCGAACGGCGCGGGCCGGGTGCGGGATCCGCCCCAGGGTGCGTGCCGAGCGCTCCTCCTCAAGCTGCCTCGGGAAGTGCGCGGCCCTGTTCCATCACGCTGTCAAAGCGTCGGTGGTTCGGGGGGGTTCTGTTTGAGCCACATTATTTCCCGTGGGATTTCTTCCTACATCATGTGGGGGGGAGCCTTTCCCTGAGGTCTGGTCGGAGGAGCCGCGAACGGTAAGAGCGTCTGATCGCGGATCTTGGTCCAACTTGGTTCACGATTGCCTCCAGCACGCCTCCAAGACGACCTGAAATCGCCATGATACGGCCAGAGAGCCGTCCAAGGATGCCCTGAGAGGTGAGAATCTCAAGTTGTTCAATGTTTTTTGTCGTCTCGCCCTTACACCTCCAATGGGCTTCCGAACGCTGAAGGTAGCCCAAGACAGCCCCAACGATGGCTGAGAAGCCCCACGACGGCCCCGAACACCGACCGATAACATCCCAAGAGCTGTTCAAGATGGCTCCAAACTTCCTCCTCCCTCCTCCTGCAACTCCCCCTCCTTCTTGGCTCGGCCCGCGGGCGATGCAAAGTTCCTCTTCCTCCTCCCCTTTCCACCGCCCTTCTTCAGCGCCCCGGCTGTCGGCGGAGGCTTCTCAGAAGGAGGCTGCTTCTCAGGAGGCGCGGGCCTCACACCCGTAGGCAAGGCCCGCGCCTTTTGAGAAGCAGAGGTGCTTCCAAGACGCCTGCCGCCCCCCCCCCTACATACCCACTTGTGCGCGCCGCCAGAGCACAGGGAACACCACCCCGAACGGGCGGCGGAGGGCAGACCTCCAAGCCAGGCGCGGGGCCTTCCCGGCACCGCCCGAGACATCTGGGCCAACTTCTGCTGGCTTGCGCTGGATGGACGCAGGTGCTCGAGACACCGGGCCAACTCTGCGCCGGGGGAGCCCTCTCCTCCTCTCGCCCCGTCCCCGCGATTTCTTTTTTTGGTGCGCCCAGACAGGACACCTGGGCGACACAACCCGAAGGAAGGGTGCCCAGGGTGCCTGCACGAGTTCACATGCAGTCGGACCTCGCAACATGAGCGGCGGCACAGACCCGCCCCAGGCGTCACAGCTGCGCCGCCGTTGCGCGAGGTGCCTCGAGGAGGCCCCGTCCCCGAGGCCCCCGAGCCCCGGAAAGACAACTACCCCGAAGGGAGGGCGGAGGGCAGACCTCCAAATACATTGGAGCCCTGCAGGGCTCGACCTAAACGGTGTTTTGGCGACTTCGTGCACCGTGCTCGTTTTGATTTTGTGCTGCAGCCGAGGCGGAGCGTGTGCGAAGCGGCGGGGGAGAATGACGACAAAACGAACACGGAAAAATACCGCTGAGGTCGAGCCCTTGAGCCCAACACACACCCATACCCAAAGGGAGATCGGAGGGAGGAGACTTGGCTGTGGGGATGGGTGCGGGTTGTCGGACCGCGGGAGAGGCTCCCGTTCGAGTGGGGAACCCCGTCCGACAACACGCACCGATAGCCCCTTATGGGTATGTGTGTGTGTTTGCCGTTCGTCGTACTTTGGAGCCCTGGACAGTCCCCCACCTCGTCATCCAAATCCTCTCACCCTCCCCTTTCAGGCCCTACTCTGCCCCTACCTACCAAATCATCCAAACCTGACCCGACGACCCAATTCTCGGGTTGTATGGGGGGGGTCCACATGTGTTTTTTCAATGTTCCCCGACCCCCCCCCCCCCCGGGCATGGAGGGCAACATGGGGCCTGCGGGTTGGGTTGGGTTGGTTTGGTGGGTGGTGACTCCCCGTTCCCCCCCCCAACTCAACGGGCGGTGGGAGAGCTGCACATGGACAGCGCCACCGAGCTCGGGGGCCACCTGCATTGAGGGAGGCCTGCCCGCGACCCTGGCGACGGTAGTAGCACCGCCGCCGCCATGGGGGGCTCTCTTACCTGGACGGGGGGCTACGCAACCCCGACATTCGCGGCAGTGCCCACACGCTAATCCTCTGGGCAGCCCCGGCACCGGAACGACGGCGTCCAGGATCGGCTCGAGCACCGACAGGGGGTCCATCTCCGGCGTCAGCGACTTCAGGGTGAGCGTGGCGTCCGCGAGGAAGAGGGAGCAGTCCTCCAGGGTGGCGGGAGGCACCGAGCGAGGGACCAGGACCTCGGCGCCGAAACAAAAGTTGCGCACGGGGCCGAGAGCTCGGGGCCCACGTCGCGAGGCCGCCGGCCCCCGGACCTCTTGACGGGCTGGACACTCTCTCTCCGAGCGGGTGGCCCTGCAGAGGGCTCGGCCCCTTCCCGGGGGTCCCCTCCTCGCGTGGCTGCATGGCCGACGGCCCCGGGGCCCGAGAAGGGCCCTCCGCATGGCGAACTGTAGGAAGGGCGCCGCGCGGCAAAAGGGCCGGCGGCCGAGCGGACCCCGAAGGCGCGTCCCGTCCGGGGCAGCGCGCTGAGCCGCAGTGCGCCGCCCGCGCTTGCGGCATGCCGCCGCAGAGGTCGCTGCGGGAGGCAGTTTCTAAGAGGCAGCCTCCTTCCAAGAAGCCTTTCTCCGTCCCCCTACCCCCCTTTGCGCGTGGCTGAGAGAGGGGGGGTATAGCAGAACGGAGTTCTCTTCGGAAGAAAACCCTGGAGGCCTTGCGCGCAGTTTGAGGCCCAAGTTGCAGCGGATCCACGTCGGATGTACGTGAAGCGCAAGCCGGATTACGTCGGAGTTACGTCGAAATCACGTCAGATTCACGCCAGACTTCCGTCGGAGCATGGCCGTGCGAACGTCGACCCATACCTGACGGAGCGGACGTGTAAACCAGATGCAGCTATCGAGCGCCGCGCAGGGTCTCCAGGATTTGCCTCACAAGTTCTTGACTCCACCCTCCCATAGACGGTGCTCTCGGAGCCCCCTTGGGCGCCACTGTACCGAGGAAAGGCGCCAAGCGGCGGGGCCGAAACCAGCCGCATGCGGCAGATGCCGCCTCCCCCACCCCCCCTTACCTGGTCCCTCCCTTCCGCACGACAAGACGACGCCAGAGCGAGGAGAACATCGGGCGAGGATACATCGAGAATCGCTGAGGTCTGGTGGCTCTGGAGGATGCCTCATAAGCGCCGCGGCCTTCTCAGAGCGCTCTGAAGCGCTCCGAGAGCCTTCTGGAACGCTCTGGGAAGGTGTTATCCTCGTCCTGTCGAGGGACAGAAAAAAACAGGAACATTATGGATCGAAGGGCCGCGCAGGTTTCTTGGACTGGCGCTGGACGCCCGTCCCTCGCGCGCGGAGCGCGCCAGCAACTGTCCCGACACGCAACGCGCAACATGTAGCGTACTGCTACGGAGCTCAACACGTAGACTGAAAACGTAGGCAGGACGCGATACGTCCGCCAAAACGTGGGCCAATACGCTGAGTCAACACGCAACGACGGACGTTTCGACCACTGCAGCTGCGTTTTACAACGGCCGTGTCGAGGCAACTCAGGCGCCAGGGGCGACGCCCGAGGCGCTGCTGGGGGGGCCACAACGCGCATGCAAGAACTTCGCACGGACGGCCACAAGTATAGGGGAGACGTAAGACTCTGGCTCGGGGGACTCGGGCTGGCCTGACGGGGTCATCATGTAAGTGACGAGGCCCAGTCTGAAATTTGACGAAACTGGACCCTCAAAACCCAGGACGCGTTCGTCAAACTCAGAAAGCGTCGGCAGGCCAGAGTTCCGGCGTAACTGCTCGAGTCTTACGTTTCCCCGAAAGTCCATGTCTACAGTCGGGCTGCTGAAAGAAGGAACACCAAGTAAGGAACGCAGCCCCGTCCTTGGCCCTGTAAGCACCTCCGTGCCCCAGGAGGGCAAGAGGAACAGCACTGGAGGGACCCGAGGCACATCGAGCCCCTTCCGAACCCAAACTGCTCCTTATTCCAGCGTCTTGACTCTATGCCGTTCTTCGCCCTTCCGGGTCCCCGCCCCGTCCGTCCGATCCGGCTCGTGGCGGGCGTCGGGGCGAGAGCGCCGGGGCAGGGCACACGAAGCGGCCCCCGCCGGAGGCACGGGCTCCCGACGGGCGGCGCAGGCCCCCCACGCGGGCGCCGCGACGCTCCCCCCCCCCCTGGCACTGCCGCTGCCGCGGCGGGCGAGCGAGCCGGCGCTGCACTGCGGCGGCCTTCTTCAGACAAGCGCGCTCCACTACTCGCAAAGTCACTACTCGCAAAGGACCTGGATCCACCGAGGGGGATCTACGACAAATTGCATCGAGGCGAACGTGTGTTTTTGTTCGGACGTGTTTGCGAGTAGGCACTTTGCGAGTAGTGGAACGCGCTCGGCGACTCTTGGGCGTCGCTGTATTCGTGGGGGGCGGCAGATGGGGGAGGGGGAAGAAAGGTGCACTTTTTTTTCGAGCCCTACCAGAGGCCACGGGGCCCTGAAGTGAAGGGCTCCTTCTCTGCAGCCTTCGCTGCCCCTCCATGGATCGCGCCCCCCGCACGACGCGACGCCCGAGGCCTCCCAGCAGGAACGCCGCCGGAGAGACGCGAGACTCGATGGAGGGGAAGAGAACGGGGCCCATGACCAAGGCTGAGCGCGGCGACGTCGTGTCCATCTTTGTCAGCGTCGATTCGCGGGTCATCCTCGCACATGGACCATGCCCAAGATTGGTATCGACAGGATCCCGCGACATCCTGGTCCCGGCCCCCGCGCCTCTGCCCCTGGCTCGACTCGACCCCGCCCGACGGTTTGCTGGAGCGCGGGTCTGCCGCCGCTTTCCGAAAGCGGCGGCAGACCCGAGCTCCAGCAAACTCGGTTCAGACCCATAGATCCGATGCAGTGATTTGTTCGATGCGTGGTCCCCGGAAGTCCCGACCCTTGCTCCTTGGCCAGCTTGCCGACGATCCCGGGTCGTCGGCTCACGGTCCCAAGGGGCCCTTGGTCGATCACGGCTCCCCAGACCCTGAGATAGTTGGTCCGCTCCGTCGGGAGAAGCGAGTGCAGCATGCTCCATGGACGACCACTCCAATCAACAGGTCCTTTGACAACCCCGAATGACAACAAGACGACCTTATCTGGGACAGCCCCGTGGGACAACCCAGTGGGGATCCCGTCAACCCCCTCCAGGCAATTGGACAAGCCGCCCCGGGATTCTTCTTCGATCGAATCAGAGCTGGACCTAAACGTTGTTTTTCATTATGTTTTCGTTTTGTTGTTCGTTCTGCTCGACCTGTGTTGCTGCACCTCCCTGCCAAAACGAAAGACAAGACACAGCCGAAGCCCAGCAAAACAGCGCTTGGGTCCAGCCCGGGATGAAGCGCAGCAGGGGAGAGCGCTGCCATCCCACAATCGACTCCGTGTCGGCGAGAAGTGCGCAGGAGTCGCATCGTGCTGTGAACACTTTTTTGCCATCCAGAGCCGCATCATGCCGTGAGCACTTCTGCCATCCGGACGTGCGGCGCCCCGATCACCAGAGTGCGCGGCCCCAGGAAGCCCGGCCCCTTCGCCAGCTCCGCTCCCGAGCAGCTCTTTGAGGAGGCGGAGGAGGAGGCGGAGGAGGAGGAGGAGGAGGCGGAGGACGAGGAGGAGGAGGAGGAGGCGGAGGGGGCGGAGGAGGAGGAGGAGGGGCGACGAGGAGGAGGGAGGAGGAGCGAGGAGGAGGAGGAGGAGGAGGAGGCGGAGGGAGGAGGAGGCGGAGGAGGAGGAGGCCCCGAGAGGCCGAGGACTGCCAAAAGCCTTGCCTCGTGTTCCCTCGACGACTCACCTTTTTGCTGCCACGCCTGCCTCGGGCCTTGGCGCGGCCCTCGCGGGTCGATCCGGCCCGAGAGGCACGCCGCAGGGAGGGGGGCTCGAGGGCCCCAGGCTTGATCTCCCGCGGTGCTGCACGGTAGGTTCGCGGCATCGGACCTCACAGGGAGGTCTCGACCCCACCTGTGGGACCCGCTCCACTTCCCGAGTCGTTTCTGGACGGTCCCAAGGCTCGGCGAGAGGAGGGCGAGAGAGGGAGGGAGAGAGGGAGAGAGGAGCGAGAGAAGAGAGAGAGAGAGAGAGGAACAACACGTGTGCCGTGTTGTTGTCCTGGCGCCTGATCTGGGACATGTTCTGCCCATACGGCAGCGATGCTCGCCCGAGCGGGAGACATACCCCAGACTGAAGCCAACGCGCCGCTCACACCCTCGGAGGCCGCCTCGATCGCTGATGGAACTCCCGCCCCTCTGTGGAGTCCAGAGGGTGCCAAGGTGAGCTTGTTACTGCCGGCTACACGCAAGAGCGACCCCGGGCAGGAGTGACCTCTGGTGCGCGGACTCGGGGCCCCCTCGTCGTGCTCCCCTCGCGGCGCGAGAAGGGGTCTTGCGCTCGGCTGCCCCGATGCGGGACGCGCAGCCTGCAGCGCGCTGACGCGGAGCCGAACACGCGCATCGAATCTGAGCGGGTCGGGCGCGATACGGTCGGCCAAATCTGGGCCAACACGTGGGTGAGACGCATTGAGCGTGGAACCTGCTGCGCTTCTCGGCAGGCGAGAGGGGGAACGAGAAGGAGGAGGCCTTCTCAGCAGGCGGCGGGGCTTCTCAGAACTTCTGCGGCCTTCTCACACGTTTTCTGCGTCTCCAAGGAAGGCTTCGAAAACTCCTCAGAAGGCCAAGGAGGACTTCTGAGCCTTCTGTGAGGGCCCGCCCCCTCTCATTCCCCCGCAAAGCACGCTGCCGAAATCCAACACGCGCGTTAACCGCTAAAGGTCTGTAGTTTGGTTCCCCCCCTTTTCTCTCGGCGGTGAAGAGGACTGGTCCTTAAACCTCCTCCTCCTCCTCCCTCCTCCTCCTCTTCCTCCTCCTCCTCCTACTACTACCACTTCCTCCTCCTCTTTCTTCTCTTGCTTCCGAGAGAGCGCTCCTGAGGCATAAGTCGAAGCAATCGCCTTAGTCGCAGTCGCAATCGTAGTCATGGCTGTCGTCGCTGTTGCGCGGCGGGTGCCGCGGACCGAAAACTGAGTTGCCCCCGAATTGGTGGGACCCCGGTCCTTTCAGGAGGCCGCCGAAGCACAATCAGTTACACCCCTTTTTTTGGGGGGGGGAGTCTAAAGACCTTTCAGGATTACCAGGAAGGGAGGGAGGGAGAAAGGAGCAGGGAGGGAGGGAGGGAGGGAGGGAGGAAGGAGGGAGGGAGGAGGGAGGGAGAGAAGAGGGAAGGAGGGAGGGAGAGGGAGGGATGGATGGATGGAGGGAGGGGGAAGGGAGGGAGGGAGGGAGGGAGGGAACGAGGGAGGAGAGAGGGAGGGAGGGAGAAAGGGAGGAGGGAGCAGGGAGGGGCAGCAGGGAGAGGAGAGGGAGGAGGGGGAGGAGGGGGAGGAGGGGCAGAGGTGGGGCTAGAG